CTATACAGGCTCGCATTCAGATGTTGTCTAAAAGTCAGGTGGCCGTTGATTTCCTTGACATCTGACGCAACAAGGGCTCGCCTGCTCTCTCTAACCAGCCCCAGTCAGCAATCTGGCTGCTTAATAATAATTCATTTATTTTCTTTCTTAGATTAATCCCAAAGATCTCTGGGCAGTTCATGAGATGAAATTGGGGGCAAAGTCCCTCCTGTACAAAGAAGCTCCTTTAGGTAGCTACAGACAAGCTTTGCGTTTTACAGCATTGAGAATTCCTCCGATGGTGCTGTGCCGGCCTTTATTCTAGAGAGCAGGAAATATCAGGAGCGGTCATTGAAAAGCGACTCTTGCGAGGAGGAGATCCTTGGCTTTGGCTCCGATTCAGGGTTCTGCAACTCTGTGCAGACTTTGGAAATGGTTCCCAGGAAATGTGTGGCAGTGTTTTTGTCCCAGAGGCAGTGGCGTGTTGTGGGGGGCGAGGGGGCCGTGGCCCCAGGCACGTCAGGCTCCCTTGCTGAGGCCGCGGGGCAGCTGGAGCCGAGACTTTTCCTGGCCCATACTGGTACTTCCCCAGGACCTCCCTCCTGGCGGGTGTCCTTGGGCAAGGGGTGCAAGGGGCAAGCGGAGCGGAGTTGCCCGCTTGCCTGGCACCTGCCGGTGCCCGCCCATGTGTTGCACGTCCGGGGAAGGGCTGCGCTTGGCCCCTCGGCCTGCCCTCTTCCACCTTCTCCCAGGCCCTCGAAGGAGCGCCAGCCGCTGCTCCCGCCGAGCTGAGAGGGCCAACCTCCGCCAGGCGCAGGAGCCACGGGGCACAGTGAGCCACGTCCACCTGTTGCCTCCTCACGACCCCCACAAGGAGGCCTTGCCCTGGGCACTGGCAATGCATGCTGTGCCGTCAAAGCTACACCCGACTAAGAGAAGCCTGCGAGCGAGATCCTGAAGACGTCTTCCGGAGGGGTCTGGACAGGGATCGGCCCTCAGCAACGTCACCTAGCTAAAATGTGCCTGGGGAGGTTTCGTTCCCGAGCCCTTTTCAAAGGCAGCCCCAGGTGGAATGCGTTGCGGTAGTCCAGATGGGGTGCAAGGGAGGCGTGGCCGTCCCCTCAAAAACCCTCCCCAGTGCAGACCCTCACCAAAATCTTTTTTATATATAAGTTTTTTATTGGTTTTACATAAAGATTGTACACAACAAACATGACCATTCCAAAAATAAAAAAGAGGTTCTTTTGAACCTTCAGACCTCCTTCCCTCCCTCCGTGGGCTCCATTTCTAAATTTTATTCCTGTATCTTTTACTGTAATCTATCTATTATATAATCAAGGTATCCAAAGGTCATGTTACTCTACAAGCGTCAATGTGTTCCTGCCAATGATTTCAAGCTGTTTACAGTGGTCTCTCAAATATGTTAGAAAGTTATTCCAGTCTTTTAAGAATACTTGGTCTTCCTGATTTCTGATCTTTCCCGTCAGTCTTGCCATTTCAGCATGTTCCATCATCTTGGTCTGCCACTCTTCTCTGATCTCCTTCTTTCCATCTCTGGGCTACGGGCATCCTTGCTGCCGTCGTTGCATACAGAAACAGTCTTTTGTTTTCTTTTGGTAGTTCTGCACCTATAATACCTAGCAAAAACTCTGGCTGTTTTCAGCTCGTTGTATATCATTTCCCAGAAAGCTTTTGCCACCCCACATGACCACCACATATGATAAAAAGTACCCTCTTTCCTTTTACATTTCTAGCACACACTTGAACTGGTTCTATACATTTTCGCAATTTTACTGGTGGTCAGATACCAATGGTACATCATTTTTATTTTATTTTTAAATAATTTTTATTAACAGGCCAATCAAATCACAATAATTCCAAATCACATTAATTCCAAATTACACAGCCAAATTTTAAAATTTTTGTTGGGGGTACCCATGCTTCGAGTTCCGAAAGGGATCCAAACATCTCTCTTGCTGCTGCTTTAATATACATAGTTCTGTCCAAATAGTATTCACAGTTCTTAATCAATCTTCTCTTTGTTATTTTCCTCATCTTCTTGTTGTTATCATATATTCCTTTCTTTGTGATGGTTTCCACAAGCAGGTTGAAAACAAACGTTGTTATATCCTGTGTGGATTTTACACTCATCCAAGAGCCATATCAAAATAGACAGACATCATTTCAACACCTCCGTACAAAACATTTCCCACAGTCTGTCCTGGTTTCCACAGGCCTGCCGCTCTCCTCAATTTTCTCAGGGGGCCCTGCCAGGCCGATCTCACATTCCAATACAGTAACGGCCATAGTCCTCCTCCCCCTCGGTCCTCCTGCGGGCAGGCCTGCCATAACACTCTCTTTTTATGACTGCGTCACAAAGAACTCCCTTTCCTTTCCCGATGTTTCCACAAGCCATGTCCTTGATTAGTAATCAATTTCCATATAGTTCCCAATCCTCCTGCTTGTGATCAGTAATTGTAACGATTCTTTCTCAGGGGGGAGGGTTATGGGGTACTCACATAAGACAAAAAAAGAAAAGTCCCCCCCCCATTCAGTCTCGCTCCGACATACCAATCCTTTGATGAATCTTCTTTTTGATTTATTGTTGAATCCAGCCCGTCGCTCCACATCCCAGAGATCCCTTTAATTAGCAGTCTTTACTCCCGATCTTCACTCGAAGTATGTGCATTTGCTTCTTTCTAATTGTTTATTTCGAGCTGCTGCAGCCAGTGCGCGATCAGAGACAGCGTCCGGGAGAGCCAGACCCACACAAGGGCTTTGTGCCTAGTGCCCTCACCCCCTTCTTTCGAATCCAGGGGTGATTTATGGCCACAGCAGGCAAGGCAGTGTTCCCCATTCCCTTGGGGCAACAAGGGAGGCTGCATACTCCCATATCAGCCTCTTAATTACCTCGTGTGAGCCGGAGAGATGGTATTGTCGGCCATCTTCCAATGCGCCCCTAGCGCCCCCTTTTTAAAATTTATTTATACAAAATCTCAGCCTTAAAAAAAAAATATATAGTTTAGTTTGTTACTTACAAATTATATCTAAGTAATTAATAAAGACAATACCAATCACAAGCTGACATACAAAAATGTGCAATAAAACTGAGGTATCACAACTATATACTGATAAAATTGGATATAGATTTATATGACACTCTGCATAATATGAAAGCTGATCCTGACAATGCTTTTTTTAATATCATTTTAAAAGTCATTCTTTAGTAATAAGGAATTCCAATTGTATCCAATACCATCTGAATTGCTTGCAGAGGATCAACAATCTTTTATATTATCTTTCCTTAAAACCCATTCTGGTCTCTGCCTGGTCTCTGCCTATTGTTGTCCTTAGAGGAGTTGCTGGGACAGAGAAATGCCCATTTTTGTATGCGGCCAACTTCTGTTTGGCAAGCATTCTTCGTGCATCCATTTGATGTTTCCGTGCTGGGAGTTTAAGCAGGCTCTGAAGGCGAGTACCTACTCGTGAGCTACCTCGGATCTCAGAAGCTCTTCTTGAGTCCTTTGAAAGAAGAGCACGTCTTGGTAAAAATGCTTCCACCTTTCTCTGGAACTTTGTCGCCAGCTCTCTCTCTGTACATCTGAAGTAGGTCCAGTAAAGTATCAACACAATTCTCCACTGTGTAAACGGCTTCAGTTGTCTTTTCATACTTTGACAAATTAAGCAGGACCTGGACAGAATAACGTATGACATCCATGCTAGGGACACTGTGATTACAACTCCATATCAAAGTAAAAATAGTGGATACTGCTTCATTCTGGACCATACTTTCACAGCAAACGGGTGACAGTCGGGTAACAACCTCCAAGTCTTTTAAAGCTGCCAGAATGTAAGAAAAGTGTTTATATTTGAGAAGCCGATCAATGGCAAGTGCTGTTCTGTACATCATTTTCATGTAATTTTCTTTCAACGAGCAGCAGGCTGTAAACTTCAGATCCTCCTTCCATAACTTTTCCCATGATAAAAACTGTATATTATAACCAAAATTTCTTGCCCAGTGTATCATTATTGATTTAACTTCTTCATCTTTAGTGAGCCTTTCTAAAAGTAATTTATTCATCTTTGACAGTAATTTCACATTATTTTCCAACAAATCTTTTTCAAACCTTGACATCTCTGTACCAAAACTTTTTTATCCAGTTTGAAGACATCATTTAATTGATGGTACTGTAACCAATCTGTTAGTAGCTCTCTAATGTCTTCAAACTTTTTCCATTTTAATTGATCTTCCACTTCTGCTAACAGCTCTATTTAGATTGCCCAGTCACCTCTCATGTTTAATTTTTTAACAGATATTGCTTCTAACAGAGAGAGCCACCATGGTGTCTTCCGCTCTAATAGATTTTTATACTTCTCCCATACCTCATAAATTGATTTCAGGAATCGCTTATGTCCTTTTGTTGTTTTCATACCATAGCTATGCCTGCCCCCCATACCTGCTATCATGACCTTCTGGGGGTGCCCTGGAGCGGGGCCGGGGGAGGACGAGCTCAAGGAATGGCGTGGGCGAGGTGCAGCGCGGGGTTGTGGGCGAAGGGGGCTCCTGGGCCTGGCGGGCTCCTGCCCTGCCTAGGGAACAGCACCCGTTAGCCCTTCTCCCGCCCCTTTTCAGCGGCCCTTCCGTCCCTTTTTTTGAAAGTGCATTTTGAAATATACACATTCCTAGATCTATAACTATATAAATAATTGCAGTAAGAAACGGGTGTTTTCAAAAGGGGTTTGTTGTTGTGGTGTCCAGGGGGATCTATAAATTATTTTTCTGTTTCCTTTTTTAATTATTTACTTGTTTCTGTCCTGTATTTTGTTCTGTGAACCCCCTTGAGATAAGGGCGGTATAGAAATCTTAATAATAATAATAATAATAATAATAATAGGTCTAAGAGATCTGTATTTTTAAACAATATCCTCACCAAAATCTTAGTCCTGTGAATTTTAATTGATTGTAGAATTGTAGAGCTGACGGGGACCCCAAGGGTCATCTAGTCCAAGGCAGGAATCTCTTGCCCAACATGGGCTCAAACCCATGGCCCTGAGATTGAGAGTCTCGTGCTCTTATCCACTGAGCTCACTAACCTCTCTCTCTCTGTCTCACTCACACACCCAGCAGGAGGAAACCTCTGAATCCCAGTTGCTGGAAACCGCAGGGAGGAGAGCTGCTCTTGTGCTCAGGTCCTGTTTGTAGGTTTCCCCAAAGTGACCACTGTGGCCACAGGCGACTGCCAGGTTGACCTGGCCTGATTCCGCAGGGCTTACGCTCTCCCAGTGCCATCAGTGTCAGTTTCCATTCTTTTAAACAACCACCACCAAGTCTCTAGTCCCTATTGATTTTGGAAATGTAAAGGGAGGATTCTGCACAAGGAGAAGCTGCTCAGTCTGTCAGGTCCTGCTGGGAGGTATCTGCTTGGCCCCTGTGAGGCCATGGGCCCCCTTTGGCCTGATTCGGCAGCCAGGCTCTTCTGCTGTCCTCGTGGAACCTCCATGTCCAGAGGCAGTCTATCTGGATCCCCAGGTTCGGAGGAGCATTTGGCCAGTGTGAGAAGAGGAAACTAGGCTAGTCAGACCTCCTCTTCCAGTGGTCTTATGTTCTCACCCCCAATGGCCCTGGGTCAAAGCCTGCAGTCTTTGCTGCTGCCCAGGGATGCTGGCTTTTCCGGGGTGGGCCTGGGGGAAAAACTGGTGTTTCTGCATTTGCCAAGGGTTCCTGTAGCCAGGCAGCTCCTTCTCTCCTCACTGGCAGAAACAGAAGCAGTGGAGCGACTTTCTCTGCTGCGTTGGCACAATTTATATTGGTTATTTGAAAAGCACCAGGGGTCCGACTCAGCAGCACAATTCCGCGATCACGGCACAGGGCGCGCAGTGCCCGGTCCATGTGCTGTTTGTGTGCCTGTTTGCCCCTGTGCTGCTGCCAGCCATAGACCTGCACAAGGCCGCCTTCAGAGGCTCCTTCGGGCAGCGGCGGCTCGCTCAGGACCAGCACAAGCCTTGGGGGTCCGGGCAGCTGCTCCGCTTTCTCCCTGGTTGTGGGTCGCTCGGATCCATCATCAAGGGGGTGAATTTTAATTTGAGTTGGATGTGTTCGTTGCTTGGAAGCTGGTGCTCCTCTGGCTCCCTTTGGTCTCCCCACCCCGTGTGTGTGTGTGTGTGAATCTGCCCCATCTTCTTTGCTGGCCCAGGAATTGCACAATCCGCTGTCTTGTCTGCTGGGCCCAGGACAGCGAAGGGGGTCTCTTCTCCCTCACCCACTGCCTCCTCTCCATCTTTGCCGGCTGGGATGTCTTGTCTTGGATCATGAATGGTGCTTCTTTAAAATTTCGAAAGGAGGCAGTCCTTTGCATTGTAAATAAATTGAAAAACAATCCCTCTCACCCCATGTTCCCTCTTGACGATGGCAGCATGACAACATCAGCTACCGTGCATAACTGGCTTTTTCCAGAGAAAAAAGATAGCAAAAAGGGAAAATAAAAGACGACCATATTATAATAATGTAATCCAACAAAACTGATGGTACAATATGTAGCTTTTATCCTAGAAATAGTCTTCCTTGAATGAACGAATAAAAATGGATTTATTGTATCCCATTCCTTCCCCGCTCCCCTCGCCTGGTGTTGTTCTTTGGTCAAGTCGGGACCCTGCAGGGAGGTGAGGGGATCCGATCCTATCCAGGGGTGACGGGGGGGGGGGACTTGCCTGCCCTCCACCCAGTGGCAGCTCCCATTGCCACCATCCCCGGCCATACTGGGAGCAATGGGCAGCCATGGAAAAGGCTTTGGATCATCAGAGAAGGAAATGGAAGCAAAACTGCCAGGATTATAAATGCCATTATACAAATCTATGGGGCAACTGTATTTGCAGTCCTGTGTCACCTCTCCTCAAAAAGGATATGTGTAACTCGCAACTTATGCAAATTTAAGATTTACGCACTTGGAGAACTAAAAAAACAAATGAGTAGTGTTAGAAAAGTTGTGTGCTACCCCACTCTCTGCAAGATCCCAGCGGGTTCCAGGTGCTCACCCAGGGTCTGTGGTCCTTTGGAGAATTGAGAGACGCCAGAGACGGTTGCAGCTTTAAGAAATATGGTTTATTTCCCTATTTACACCTTCTGTCTGCATAGAGAGAGTCCAGATCTTACAGCGTGGTCATTTCAAGAGGGGCTGCCCAAGATGGATCCCAGTCTTTCTTCCTCCTCCTCCTTCCCAGAACACCTTGCCAAAAAGCTCTCTTACCCTGGCAAACCCCCAGTCTCTGTTCACACCTCAGGGCAAGGGGGGAGGACAGTTTTCTGGACTTGCCAATGGCCTTTAATTGCCCTCTATTGTTTCTTAATGGCCCCAACTTGGCCACCTCCATTTGCAGAGACTCTCCAGAAATTCCTCAGCAGCTTCTCTTCTCCCTTCATCCCCCAAGTAATCAAAATCCTTGCATTTGTTAATTTCTAGGGTTGAGGGTCATGCCACCCCTTAAGCCAGGAAAAGGCCACTCTGGAGGGCATGGGGTGGAGGTCATCTGTGGGGGCAGAACTGGGCACCTCCGTCTCTCTTCTCACTGCAGCAGCCCGGAGTGATGCTTGGTGTGGGGCAATTTGAGTGCCTAAAAGGGGGGGGGGGTTGATCTGCCTGCTTGACACAGACACACAAGATGAAGGTGGGGGAAATAAAGTTGGTGGAACAGGGCACTTGGGGGCAATGGAAGACCTACATAATGAGAAGTTTTTAATGTTTGACATTTCATTATGTTTTTGTGTGCTGGATGCCACCCAGAAACGTAGCCCGATGGGTTGTTGTTGTTAGCCCTGAAGCTTGGTCATGGGGGCCCCTTCGCAGCCAGCAACCAGGCCTCTTCTTCAATGGGGCTGTCCCACAACAGATCACTCTGCCCTGGCAACCTTTGTGTAATGGACTCTCATACTTTGGGGTTGTTGAAATACATACAACAAAAAATTAATGCATTTGAGCTGGGCAACTCAGTTGGTGTCTATGAGAACCCAGATTTTTAAGCAATGCGGACTGAAGTTGCTTCTGGGGCCCTGAAACATCACCTTCATTTGTTTCATCGGAGATCTGCCCCGGTGGGGGGCGACACCAGCGATGCATCCGTCTCTTTTTCCCAAAGGGGGATTCAATGCTCCTTGAGATTCTGCCTGAGCCACGGGCACTGCGCTGCAAGCCATGCCAACGCTGATGATTCCAGATGGAGAGGGAGGGACATGGCAAGCATATCCTGCACCAAACAGGCTGCATCGCTCGGGACTCTGAGGGGTGTTTGCAGAGGGTGGGTGCGTGTGCAAATGCGTGAAAGGCTGCGTCATCCGTGTGTGCTGCGCAGCTAAGCTTTGTCTCCATGCACCGCTCTTGAAAAAGCAAAAGTGCCATGCCTCTCCCTTCCCTCGCTTGCTGTGCTGGAGGGTCCTGCATTTGAGGCCTGCGTTTGCACAAAGGCGCGTCTGCGCATGAAGGTCACCAGAAGAGCCTGGCTGCTGGATCAGAGCCTGTCCTCAACTAATCAGGATAGACTGCTTCTGGGCCTGGAGGTTGCATAGGGACACAAGAAGAGCCGGGCTGCTGGGTCAGGCCCCAAGGGGGTCCATCATGCTGTCCTCACAGGGGCCAGCCAGACCCCCGTTATGGGACACCTGCCAGCCTGGCTCCCCGGGTGTGTGGCGCTTCTGTGGTGCATCTGTGTGTGGATCTCACAGTGTCTCTGCCCCCCTCACAATCAGAAATGGCAAGTCCCCCTTAGGCCCTGCGTGGCAAATCCCGAAATGCGTCATTCACAGGGTTGCTGTGGAAACCGTTGGCTCTCTGCTGGCGTTTGGGAGCGGAGGAGACGGGGAAAGGGAGGGGAGAGCTGCAGCCCCCTTGGAAAAGGGGGGCACCCCCATGCCTCTCCCTGAGCCCCCTTTCTCCGATGGAAATAGGGACGTCCTCTTCTCCACCGGGAAGCTTCTCCCACATTTGAGCTCACTGCACACAGAGATGCCTTCTGCGCTTCAACCTCAGCCACCCTGAGCCAAGGCCAGCCTCTGCTGAACTGACCTCACAGGGTTGTTGTAAAGGAAAAAGGTGCGAGGGAAGGAATCGTGTGCAACATCTTCTACAGATAAATGGAATGAAACAATATTTCAGCTGTAAGCAGCCCTGAGTCCCTGGGGGGGGGGGGAGGCAGGAAATAATAATACTGGAAACAGAATGATCCTACCAGAGAGTAAATGCTATTGCTATTGAACTCAGTGGGACTTAGTTCCAAGTAAAAATGCTTCAGGTTGCAGTGTAAAGCTGCACAATCTTTATACCCAATTACTTGGTCGCAAGCTCCATTGACTACAGTGGGACTTACCGGTACTTCTGAGTAGGCAGAGTGAGGCTCCATTTACAATAAAGGAATAAACCTTCTCCATGCTTCCTAAGAAATGGCAGGCTGCAGAATGACTTGCAATGAAAGACTTTAAAGTGGATGGGTGACCTTTTCCTTCAAAATTATAGGAAACTTCACCATTTCCTCCATTTGGTGCAGGAATTTTATTTTCAGTATAAACAGGACTCCGTTTTAGCCCCTGCACACACCACTTTTAATTATTCTCCAAGATGGGGAGGGAAAAAGGAAAGCGGGACATTCCGGGATCAAATCAGGAACCGGGATGTCTTCTGTAATTCTGGGATTTCCCTGGAAAAGCAGGGATCTCGGAGGGCCTGACAGAGGCGTTTGCTTTCTCCTCCTGCCATGGGCTTTGAATTCACACCGGCCTTCAGGAAAGCTCTGTGTTAGCTCTGTTTCTAATGTGTCACGAGATTATAAGCTGTCTCATGCAAGAAAAGATCTTATTTTGAGTTTATTGGACTCCATCACACGATGGCATAAACATCCGTTGATGACAGCCTGCTGTTGGAGATGCAAAAAGGAAAACGCTTCTTTTAAACTTATGTTTTTTACAGTGTCCATTATTGGTGAATTTGCGTCTGTGTGTGTGTGTGTGGGGGGGAATTAGGATGTATAAATGCTGTTGTGGGGAAAGAGCTAAAAATTTCAGAAGGTATCATTCATATACCTAACCTATGGGGCTTGACAGATGGTCAGCAAA